ATGCATCAGAAATAAGATGGTGAGAGACAAAGGGATAGGGAGATGGACAGAGATGTGATCAAGTAAAAGGTTAATGGTGGAATCTAGTTGGTGAATATATAGTCGTTCACTGTAAAACTCTTTCCAATTATCACATGTGGGAAATTTTCATTGAAAGGGGGTTGGGGAAGAAAATATAATGGGGGTAAAATTACTGAAGTGTGTGGGGTATCAGTCTGCTGCCCCACTGTCCACTTCCTTCTCTTCAAGAGTTCATATGGTATTTAGGACCCTAATAGGATATTTATGTTGAAAACTCAAAGCACAAATCTAGCAAGCTGAGACGTAAAAGATTGTTTTTATTTTTTAAATCAACTGCCTGAGACTGGTTGATTACACTGGAAAATTGTGTTCCGTGAAAGGGAGAGAAGTAGCTCCCCACAGATAAAGTTTCTATATTTAAAATCACACTGAGCTGTAGTGGGGCACCTGCGAGGCAGGTCGGGCAGAAGACGCTGTTAGAAGACTCAGGAGCAAGCCACAAATCAGACCCGACACACGTAAAAGGCTCCCGATGGGCAGATGGAGGGAGCGGATGGGGTCTGGGTGGTTGTGGTCACGCAAGCAAAGGCTGCCCACGGTAATGAGCGCCGAAAAGGACGGCTGCAGAGGCTCGTCAGAGATGACGATCCTGCACGTCCCTTCCAGAGAAAACAGCCGGTGACCGACACACTGTCAGTTCCACCATCTGTGAAGGGCCAGTGTCCACCGCTGGTCAGTTCACCTCCATCACATTCTGCCACCTGCAAGTGCATTGCTTGGTATTGACTAGACACTGTGCATTAAGTTATTTTTAACAGTCTGGAGGGGTTTGGTATTGGGTAGCTCCTTACGAGTCAGAGTGGCCCCTGCACCTGCAGCCTTGGCAGCTTCCCCGGGGAACTTGTTAGAAATGCAGAATCTCAGGGCTCATCCCACACCTGCTGTGTTAGAATGTGCTGTTTAACCGAATCACAGATGATTCACACACACACACACACACACACACGTTAAAGTGTAAAAAGCAGTGGCGTGAGCTTACAATGCGCCTGTAGATCAAGCCACTGGGACCTACGTCTTCCTAGGAACAGCTTTAACTTCAGACACAGAGGACAAGTGCCAGTAAACAGGTGAGCGATATGGTGCCTTGGCCCACTGGTCTCCTGGAAGGACCTTCCGCTGACACCCACTTCCTCTCCGCGATGCTGCCCCCTCCTGCAAAAAGGACCTGCCAGGAGTCCTCACGCCCGGAGAGTTTATCAGAATAAACACATCGGAACCTGCTGCAAGCACTTTGGAAATTTCCACATTCTCCAAAGGGTCTAGAAATATTCCATAGATCTTTGGAGAGTGGATCCCTCTGCATGGAATTGCTCTTTAAGGTGAAAAGGGTCTAAATGTTTTCTCCAACAAGGGGACGAGCAGAGGAGTTATCCGGCTATCGTGCCCATTGTGGCTGCAAGACAGCTAGGCAAATTCTTTCTCCCCCCTTAAAAACAGCCACCAAATGTTGCATTTTATTCATGTATGCATCTGTCTAAAATAAGTGTATTTTAATGATCGGGTCTGGTTTAAAAACTGTTTTATACTCAAATAGCTGTGGATAGTCATGGCTCACACAAAACTAAAGGTTTTACATTTTCTTTCATAATAACTTGTCTCTAAAGATACTAATACATTCCTCACCAATAAAACAGTAACGCAGATATGAAAGATTTTTCTAAAGCCATCTGAAGTCAATTGCTCTGTACTTCCTGCAAGTTCTGTACGTTAGCATCACTTCTTTGTAAATATGTGCAGCTACATGGAAAATGGTTTTTAAAAATATGATTACCAAACACAAAGCCCCAACTTTCTAAGTTACAGATTTCCACTCTTCCTTCAGGAAGGAATCTGACATATTGTCCAATCAACTTTCTGAAACAATGAATAAATAAGCACATTTCTAAGACAATAAGTACAAAGTGTATTTTTATTCTCACTTCTTATTTAGAAAGGGAGTTTTAAAAATAATCATTTGGTCTATCTTCATACAGGTTTTTAAAAAGTGGCAATCAAAATGGAAGACATTGAAATACATCCCATACTTTTACTACTAATTATGAAAAACAAAAGTGGATCCACTCTGGCAATAATTCATGCATGAGGGAAAAATGTTTAACACTCTCTGTACTGTGTGTATTGCATCTTACACAGGTATTCACAGAAAATATTTTCAACAGACTGGTAAATTATTTATTTGCTAGACTATTTTTCACAGTGGTTTCACATTCAAAGCAAAATTAGGCAGAAGGTACCAAGATTTGTCATATACCCCATATAGGTGGTTAATTTTTTAAATATGCAAAATGCTACAGGTCAGACCACAAAAAAAATCCTAGAAGTCAATCAAATCATACTAATAAAGGCCTTCTGGAAAAATCTATTTGAGTTCCAGGTAGGATTAAGGAAATTTTATTTAAAAAGAAAGACATTAAAATAAATCTGTATCTTATTAATGCCAAAAATTACTAGAAAACAATAGTGTCTAATACACTCTGTTGTCTTAATTTTCTCTTAGGTTTCTCCCTTATTAGAAAATCAACAGAAAAAAAATCAGTGATGAATAAATACAACAATCTTCATGAAAAGTCTGAGTGGTCTAAGAAATTTAAATTCAGAGAAGTTATTTTCTTTTCCACCACTGCAGAAACCTACCCCTGCTTACCTTTAGACACCATAAAAATTAAACTGTGGCAGCCCTACTACAAGCTATAAAAAACATCAACTTACCGAAACTACTCCCCTTCGTAAATCTTAACGTCCACGTATAAAAGCAGTTTTCAGTATGCTCTCTTACCTGAAAAGCAGTGAGGAGGATTTAAACTTCAGCCGGTCAGTAACAGGCTTCTGAGAGCATGCCTGGCGCAGGCTGAGAACTGCAGGGACAATCACAGTCTGGGATGAGCGTACTCTTTCCAGAAAGGGAGGAGGGGGCAAGAGACTCAGATGAAGAAGCCCCACGCAGCAGCCCGGGAATATAAGGACACTGGTCCTCCCTGTAGAGTTCCCACCCCTCGGCCACAGAGCGAGAGGCTGGGCAAACAGTGCCCACAGCCACAACAACATATTCAGATACACCGGCCGAGAAAGACTCTTTTCACTATTCCAAGCAGAACGACAAATATAGCAAATGCTTTTGACAGGCATCTTGCCAAGTTACTGCCCGGGAATGAGTAAGAGGCCCCCGCACAAAACCAAGAAGTGTCACCCCATCGGAGGTGCGGGTTTGCCAACAAGGAGGGTGAAACTGGATGCCTTCACCTGAACTCATCCTTAAAACAAATCTGTGGTTTTTCTATAGTGAAGGCTACAAAAATTCAAGAGAGAAGCCTAAAGGAACACCAAGCTATCCACACTCAGGAGATGTAAGAACTTGTAAGCCACTGAGAATCTTTCCTTCAGCTTCCCTATTTTCAACTTTGCCACCTTCTGCCTATTTTCAACTCCTCTGTCATCAACCTTCAGGGTTCAAGAAAGGAAATAAAACTTTGTAAACTTTTAAGTGACAAGTAGTGCTGAGATAAAGGAGAAGAAGTAAGAACTAATATCTAAGACATCACCTGGAGATTATTTCCCTTGCACAGGTAATAAATGGTGAAGACTTTTGCCCTAGAAATACATCTCAAGAGGATTTCATTCTCCATCAAATTAAGATACTAACACACACACACACACTTATACAAACTTGATATATCCATCCACAAGAGTTAACATGGCAATTACAAAATCCAGCTTTTCCCAAAAATATCCCAGAGAATGTGAAATGTTTTACAAAATAAGTTTCCAGGGTAAAGTTTTAGGGTGTTCAATCACACTAATGCCAACAGAATCCTACACTGCAGAATTTCTATTTTTAATATGCTCATACTTATCATCCGTCTATTAAAAGAAATACCTTATACACTGTTTCCCAAATATTTAACCACGGGACCCTTCACCTGAGGGGCATCCAGAGGGAACTGTATTTTGTGAGACAGATTTGGGACACACTAATGACTTTAGATTCCACTTGCCAATTTTTAAGCAACAGACCTGACATTGCAATGTTTTCAAAGCACTTAGAAAAGCCATTAAAGTATGAGGCTTCTCATCTATCCCAAAGTGTACTAATCTCTCAGAAATTCCCATGTGATCAGTTTCCAGACTGCTCCATATTAGTAAGTGGTAAATGTTAGGGAAGCATTAGGGATGGTAGCAGATTATAGGTGTATTTAATGGGCATCTCCTACATCCCTCCCGTTTCGATGGAAACTGAGCGACAGCATGGTACCTACCCTCAAGCACCTGCACATTTTGTTGGAGCCTCTGCAGCTGTGCTGGCAGGCGTGGGGCTGTACCAGGTCACCCATCTGTGCTCCAAAGTTGAACGTCAGACCTCGGAGATGAACGTTCAGCCAACGGGCACCCAAGCCGAAATACCGATGCTGAGCCAGGAGCAACCACCACCCAAACACGATGCCAAATGCAGACACAGGTGCACATTTCAATCACTCAAGAGGAAGAAACTGAGTCACGTGCCTCCAGCAAACCACGTATAAAACCTGACTCCCCCTCCTCCAACGCCCCAACTCTCCTCACATCCCAGAGCCTCACCTGCCCCGTGTTTGCCCAGCAATCCCTGAACATCCTGACCTTCTCATTTAGGTGAAAAAGCAGGTTTTCCACCGGAATAACTCAACACTGACCCCTCATTCATCCGCCCCGACTGCTCCACAACCAACTACTGCACCCAAGTTATTTTTCCAAATCATGTCCCTTTAAAGACGGACAGCTTTCTAAAATGAGTTACACTCCCCTGGTCCTTCTAATAAAAAGACATTTAACATTAAAAACCATGTCTTTAGTTCATAAATACAGATTCGACTTAATAAAGGCAATCATAAGTATAACACTGTCTTGGAGAGACCACTATAATAGGGTGAGAAAAATATTTTACTTAAAAAATGATTCAGGAGACATGGGGTGGTATTTCTACATCTGTAAGATAGCAAAAAAAATTCGCTTATAAAATAATAATCATGTCACAAGGCTGCATCAAAAAAATACATACTCCAACATCTGAGCAAATACAAGACACCTATCATGATACCACAGTACTCTGAGAAGACATTGCTTCAGCCAGTATTTACTAAGGACTTGCCACACGACAAAAACAGGGAGCGAAACAGTGACTCCCACTGCATCGTACACACAAGTACGAGTCACCGTTTCCTACGGAGAGCGCCCATCTGTGTCTCGTGGACACAGCCTGGGATGTCTTAAGAATTAATTGTAAAAGCAACACAGATTTATTTTAAAAGTTCAGCCCACAAAAGGCACAAAATTAAAAGTAAACATTCTTAAAAGTAACAACGCCCTCCGTCTTTCATATTAATTACAGCCACGGCTGAGTCTGAGTTTTCATTTGCCTCGGATCATTTCGTTTTAAGTGACTCA